GGCGCACTAGTTGGCGCGGCGCGCCACTGGTGGTACGTCAAAGAGGAGTCTGTGGCGCGCCACTGGTGGTACGTTAGAGATGAGTCTGTGGCGCGCTGAGAGACGTGACGCGCCAAGGAGGAAACTTCAGAGGCGAGTTGTAGGCGTGATAGGAGGCACAACACGTCCCTCTTCAGAGGCGAGTTGTAGGCGAGTTAATTCTATATTCTTGTTTTAGTATTTTATGCTTGCGCACCATAAGATAAATTTAGTGTCTAATCTTAAAATCGAGAGAGGAGAGATTAGATAGACCAAAGAATATAGAGAGCTCGGCCACCCATTAGATTGAGGTGATTAGTGTTCAGGAGTGACGCCCAGACAAACACCTTGCTTGGTTATGAAATAAGATGAAATCTTAATGCTCGCCAGTTAGTCTATTTATCCCCGCTCAACGATGTAGTTAGATAGCTAACTGGGGTAGGCGACGAGAGGTGTATAACCCGGATCATACCATCAACCCTATAAACCAGTAACTTGACAACTGAAATTAATTCTAAGCCAATAATGTGATACATGATATTCAGTATATGCTGCAGCCCTGGAATTGCTTTTAACTTGCTTGAAACATTATATCAAAGTTGTTCATAATTAGTTACGTTTAATTAGTACATAATTATTAGTAGATAAACAATAAATCATCAACTCTTGAAAATGTTACTTTTTACTTTAAGTTGTAGAATTAAGTGAATATAAGTTGATCATAAGTCCCTTGGGAACGATAACTCGTTTCTTTAAGAATCTATATTACTTGCGCGACCACATACACTTGCGTGTATATTGGGGAGCAACAATGGTTTTCTTCATTAAACAACAAGTGTGTGTAGTGCCTTTTCCCTAACAAACTTTTCACTTCTCTTTGCAAGTATCTAAAAGTGCTTCTCTAATAAGTCTTTCGCTTCACTTTCCCTAAAAATATTTTTTAATTTAAAACTCATACAATCTCAAATTTAAATTAACATTGATAATTTAGAAAAATGTGATTAACTTTCAAAATTTCACATGTACTACATAAATTGAAACAAAAAAGTAACATATATTATTTAAAAATTACGTTAAGATTTATAAATCACACATATAAATAGGCAAATAAAGCAACAATTATTGTCCCGTGATTGCACAAGCTCATTGTATCTAGTATATTATAAGCGTAAATAAAAATAAATATGTACATTATTTTTTTTAAAAAGGTGTCCTAATTGACATGGGATTAAGGCTGGCAATTGGATCGGTTTTTTTTTCGATCCGGTCTGGTTCCCGTACCGGTAAGTCCGGTACCGGTTGAATCGGTAAGGAACCGGTCTTATAGGTACCGAAACCGGTACCGAAACGGAACCCGGATTTATATTCGGTTGATCTGGTTCGGTAAGAACCGGTTCCGATCCGGTAAGAACCGGTTCCTGTCCGGTTCAACAGTCAATTTTTTTTTTTTTTTTAAAAGTTGAACGTTATAAAGCCGTTGGGCCCTTTTTGCCGTTGGGCTGGGGCCCAAAACGGCTCCAAACAGCGCCCACTCCTCTCTACCCCTTAACACTATAAATATACCCATATTTTTTCATTTAAATCACAAATTCACAAACTATTTCATTAATATCTTATAAAATCTCTTAATTTTCAATCTCTCATAAATTCATAATTATTATTTTGTGATATTGACTTGGAGTTCGAATTTCGGAGATTTATTTGAAGTAAATCGGAAGCTTCAATTGGCATCTCTCAATTCTGGCTTTGGTTATACGTCTACTTTTATGTAGACGTTCAGTACATTCGTTCCAACTTTAATTTTTTATTTGTTTATTAATTAAGTTATTTTATTTTTTGTTATATTATCTTTGCTTGTTTTTTATAATATTAATTATTCTAAACTTGAACATGAATTTGAAAAAATATAGTGGTAAAAGACCAATGTCGGAAAGAAAAAATAATAGGGGAGGAGGAAGTAGTTCTAATTTTAAAAATTTGCCACCTCCTAGATTTAGAATTAATACTAATGATTATACTCATGTTGATGAAACTTCTTTTACACGAGACTCACGACCTATTGAATTTAATTTCGAAAATGAAGTAGATCATGAAACTTTAAATAGATGTTTTACTAATTTTGAGGAAGAATTAGATAAGGAAGTAGAAATAAATGAGGAAGATGATGAGACCCCTACCCCTACTAGTCCGGCTACCGAATTACCGGAACAAGATGAAGTCCCCTCTTTACCTAATTTTTCAAAGACCGTTGTACGTGTTAAAAGATCTTTAGTATGGAAATTTTTGGTACAAATGAGGAAAAAACTACTGTTACTTGCACGAAATGTAAATTGATCATGAAACATGTAACTACGGGTACACAAGGGGGAACGGGACGACTAAGAACACATTTGAGAAAGTGTAATAAAGAATTTGCTCGCCTAGATGATATAGAAAGGGCTAATAGAAATAGAATACCCATACCTGAAAATTCTATGGGAGTTGGAGGTTCTAATATGGTTCAAAGTGTATTAAATATGACTAACTCGGCTAGCCGAAGCACACACTGCACATATAGTAAAAAAAAAAATCGTAGAGAATTAGCTAAAATGGTTGCTGTTTGTGGTTTGCCTTTTTCATTTCCTTCACATCCTGATTTTATTCAGTATATTCAGGAATTGTATAACCCAGATTATGAAGGTATTCCAAGAAGTACAATTAAAAGTGATCTTTTTAAATATCAAAAAGAATATTGTCATTTTCTTCGTTGTTTATTTGTTTATTATGATGGTAGATTATCTATTACTTCTGATATGGGACGTAGTCCTAATGGTAATGATTATTTTACAATTACTGTCCATTGGATTGACCATGAATGGAACATGCAAAAACGAATATTAGGATATAAATATGTTGAAGAAACTTAAACCGGTTCTTATATAGCAACAAAAATAAGCTCTATTTTCAATTTTATGGAATATGTGATAAAACAATGAGTGTCACTTTAAATAATGTTTCTAATAATTTAAAAACAATTGATTATTTAAAATGTAGACTTTGTCCAATTGATAATGATTATTTTCATATTAAGTGTGCCGCACATGTGTATAATTTGATAGTAAAAGATGGTATTTCTCAATTTGGAATTTCTTGTGAAAAAATTAGACTTGCTTGTAATTGGATTTTTAAAGCTAAAATAAAAGCTATAATTACAGAATTTAAAAATCGTTGTAAAGAATGTGGACTTGAATATAGAAAAGTTCCAAAAGAAGTATGCACTAGATGAAATTTTTTATTTGAAATGCTTCAAGTTGCTTATATTTATCAAGAGCCGGTACAATTAGTTTTTAATGATCATAATGCAGACCCGAATTTGAGAATTAGCTATGAAGTTTGGGAAAGTACAAAAGAACTTATTGAATTTTTAAGTGTTTTTTATAAAGTAACAAATGTTGCTTCTGGTCAATATTATCCAACTATTTCTTCTGTTTTAGTAAATATTTGTGCTATTTCATCTGAATTTGCAAAATATAAAGGAAAAGATCGATTTGAAGATTCTCTTGCTTTTATGATTGAAAAATTCAAAAAATATTTTTTCCCTATTCCTCAAATCTATTTGACTGCTACTACTTTCAACCCAAATTACAAATTAAAAGGTGTTGAAAGAATGGTTGAAAAGATTTATGCAAATTTAGAAATTAAAAATGATGAAACTCCTAGTGTTGAAGATTGTAAAAGTAGCATATATATAACAACTAAAGAGTTATATAATACATATAAATCTATGGAAAAAAATATTCTAATAGTTGAACCTCCATCTTGTAAACCTAGAAGTGATGATACGGATGATTGGATGGATGATTATCTTGAGCTTGAATCATCTACTAATAATGATTTTGATTTATATTTCAATCAGGCATGGGAAAAGATTAGGCATGAAGAAGGACAACTTCAAGCTCCAATATTAGTATGGTGGAAGAATCGTGAAAATCAATTTCCGACCCTTGCTAGGATTGTTCGAGATGTGCTAGCGATTCAAGCATCATCGGTCGCTTCGGAGCAAGCCTTTAGTGCGGCGAGATTTATGATTGAAGATCATCGATATTCATTAGCAAATGATAGTTTGGAAATATCGGTGTTGTTTCGAGATTGGGTCAATGCCGAAAGAAAAAATACCGGACTACCACAATTAAATAGCCAAATAGAAGACGAAATAGATGAAATATTTGGTGATAATAGTGATGATGACATGGAAGCAATGGAAGAAGAACGACAAATACAAGTTCTCAAAAATGTTTCTTTTGAAATGATACAAAAATTACGAAAAGATTTTAAAAAAAATTTCAATTGTTAGTACAATAATTAATATTCAATACCTAGATTATGTACTCTTTGTCTCTTTCTAATATTTGTATTGTACAATTTATTTATTTGAATAAATATACGGCTATTCGCCTTGATCTTTTTAAAAAATAGTCTCTTATTTAATCCAAGTCATTGTAGAAATTTAATTTTCAACTATTTTAATATTAGTTTAAACTTTAATATAAAATTGAATTTTAAGGTTAAATTTTAAATTCAATATAAACTTTGAACTTTAAAGTCAATTTTAAACTTAAATTCAATTGAAACTTTAAAGTAATTTTAAAGTTTAAAATTTTAAATTGAAGATTTTTAATAATATAATTTTATTAATTAATAAAATAATATTATATAATAATTAAAATTAATAAAAAAATAAAAAAATTACCAGTACACAATGATCCGGTAAGAATCGGTTCCTATCCGTTAACTAAGAGACCGGACGAAACTTTTGGAAATTTCCGATAAAATTGGTTTCGATAAAACCCGGTTTCGATAACTAAATCCGATAACAAGGACCGATTTCGATACCAATTCCGGTAAAACCGATCCTGTTGATCCGTCCTGTCCAATTGGCAGCCTTACATGGGATACAATAGGAAAATATAGGGAGGAAAATTTATATTTGTGCCCTCAAACCCATAAACCTTGTTTTAGTTGAGAGCTCCATGGACACGGAGATGGGCGGCGCTGAATCGAAGAAGCCAATTTGTGCAGAAGAAGAAGAAGATCCATGGAAGAGGGAGTTACCACAGAAATACTTGGCGAATGAGAATCTGTGGAATGACGACGATTTTATCCCCAAAACCGCTTCAAAGGATGATCGTGATTTGTTTCGCAAAATTTATGGAAGATACTTCCGTCAGATTCTCCAATCCGATGTTTGTCTCCCTTTACTTATCCGAATTATTGCTCCATAAGTTGTTTAATTGGGGTTGAATTTCATGGTAGTTGTTTTCCCCCTTTTTCGTAGGGTGTTTATTTGGGACTAGCATGATGTTGTGATTATGATAGGACCAAGAGAAATAAAATTGAGTGATTAGACTTATACTTGCATAATTCATAATCTAAATCCCTGTATTTCACCTATGTATCTCTGCCTCAGAGAGGAATTGCTGAGGCGTACACTCTATCCGGGATTGTGGGATTTCACTGGGTTTGTTGCAATATATGAAATTCTCACATTCCGAATTCCCATAGTTACTTGTTCTCTGTTTGTTCTTTACAACTCTTTTCTCTTCCGCAGACGTTATAGATGTCCCATGCTTGTCTGACCTGACCTAATTCAGAACAAACTACACCAATTTAAATGCTTTGAGTAGCCTTTTAGCCAACTCAGGTCTGTCTAGGGGCACTTTTACCCATAATGTATGTTAGAGTAACAATTCTTAGCCTCTGCTAATGGACCAAAGACTAGAAGAGAATTTTCGCGTTGGATTTCTTTACCGGATTGAATATCAACTTTTTTCGCTTTCACTTGCTTTAACTTACTGTCTATAATATAAAATCTGGACAGTTCATCATGTACAATTCAATTAGACCTTTCCTTTTGTTACAGCTTGGATATTGACAGTTCATGACTTATTGGCTTATTTGACAGGGTTTCGACATTGACATTTATCCTGGTGATGCTAAGGCAGCTATGTACATACCATATCTGGATTTTGAGAAAGAAACTGACTTGCTGATGGAACTGGCTAACCATGCTATTCAGGATTACAACAATAACGAAACCAATGTATGACTCTGTTCCTCTTCGCTTTATGTGAATAATATTCCTCAAACCCTCAATGACGTTACAATATTTTCTCTATGCCTTGCAGGTTTACAAGTACAAAGTTAACTATGTTGAAACAGTGAACTTTATTTTGGCTGAATGTTGTGAATTTTTCATGACTGTTAAAGTTAGTAACCTGACTTTGCGTACACCGATTGAAACTTTTCAAATCCATGCATATAAAGGACCACACGAGGAGAATGTTGTCCGTCTTTGCAGGAAAAAGACGTCGAGATGATGAGGTATTCAATTTCCTCCCAACTTTTTTCTTTTCATTGTTTGTGTGAGGGGTAAAAACAAACAATATTTACCTATACTTGGTTGCTAATTTACCTTGGTTTGTTTTTTCTCGACTATTTTGCAGTTGGTTTATCGGCTAAAGCTAAATTGGAGGAGGCGAAACATCAGAGGAGGCTAGGAAAGATAGTTGAAACTATAGTTTTTTAAATCTTAGATCGAACCGGTTATTATTAATTAGTTGTAGAAGTATTTGATAAATTTTTAGACGTTGTCCAATTTATGTACTGTTACGTATATTGTTCTAGTTTTTTTGAAATGCATGATCATTCACTAGTCTTTGTGGACATGGATGAAGAAATCATCTAAGGGATCTATACTAATGGAATTGTTTACAACCAGACATTGTGCACAATTGTCAAGGAGATACTTACAATTAATGGTTGAAGGAAATATATCTAAAAATTAAAAAATCAAGAACGAAATTTTGGCTTTATATAAGTAAAGGACTCTCCTTTCTTTTTTAACAACATTTTAGTTTTTAAAGCCATTAATTTTTTAAAAATATATTTAACATAACTTTAATTTAAAATTACAAAATTAATTTTTTTTTTTTTTTTTAAACTTCATACTAAATTTAAGTCCTTTTGTTTTTTTAACGAAACGGAGGGAGCAAGTACAATAGTCTAATACGTGTGTGCACAAGTCAAGTCTCCATTCATTTTATGCGAAGCACGTGCAGTAAGCATATTCTCAGTTTGACTATGTCCAGTTTTCAATCCAAGAAAAAAAAAAGATGGGATATTTTAGATGATTGAAAAATTATTTTACAAATGATTAGTTGCACCCAAATCCATTCCATAGAATTCGGATCTCCAGATTTACTATCTTGATGTTGGTGGGTTGACTTTTTATTTCTCTCCCCCACCTTGATGAGGGAATGGTGAATGATATCAAGAACACTGCAAATGACAAGAAAAATCCAAAATTAACTTTATTACCTCTTATTGCTCTCATTTTCTATGATGTTTCAGGTGGACCTTTTGGTATTGAAGATTCAGTTAAAGCAGGTGGTGGTCCTTTATTACCTTTACTTGGTTTCTTGATTTTCCCTTTACTTTGGAGCATGCCTGAAGCTCTAATCACAGCTGAATTAGCCACAAGTTTCCCTCAAAATGGTGGTTATGTCATTTGGATATCATCAGCTTTTGGCCCTTTTTGGGGATTTCAAGAAGGGTTTTGGAAATGGTTTAGTGGTGTTATGGATAATGCTCTGTATCCGGTACTCTTCCTCGATTACTTGAAGCATTCTTTACCCATATTTAGTCATCTAATTGCAAGAATTCCGGCTTTGTTAGGCATTACAGTTTCGTTAACATATTTGAATTATAGAGGACTGCATATTGTTGGTTTTTCGACTGTTTTGCTTGCAAGTTTTTCGCTTTTACCCTTTTTAGTAATGGGGATTCTATCGATTCCTAGGATTAGGCCAAGAAAGTGGTTTGTTGTGGATTTTAAAAAGGTTGAATGGAGGGGATTCTTTAATAACATGTTTTGGAATTTGAATTATTGGGATAAGGCTAGTACTGTAGCAGGGGAGGTTGAAGATCCTAGTAGAACGTTTCCAAAGGCGTTGCTCGGGGCTGTGGTTTTGGTGGTTATGTCTTACATAATTCCACTTCTTGCCGGTACAGGAGCGTTGAATTCTAATCCTAGTGAGTGGAGTGATGGTTATTTTGCAGAAGCTGGAATGCTTATTGGGGGTTTATGGTTAAAATGGTGGATTCAGGCTGCAGCTGCAATGTCTAATATGGGGTTGTTTGAAGCTGAAATGAGTAGTGATGCATTCCAACTTCTTGGGATGAGCGAAATCGGAATGCTTCCTTCTATATTTGCTTCAAGGTTTGACAAATTTTCAATTGATACTTTGAATATTACAAGCTAGAGATTTTCCTTGTGTGACTTAGTGATATTCAACTGAGGTAGATCATGATCATCAAACAATGAACTCCCGCTGTCCCAATTGACTTGGCACCCTTTTCCTTTTAGTCTGTCGCAAAAAGAATGTCATCATTTTACAACTAGAAACAACTTAACTTTAAAATCCTTCCACACAAATGTCCAAGGTTTGTTTTAGACCACAAATTTTAAAAGTTTATTACCTTTTCTTTTTTAAATTTTGAGTCAAGTCAAAATGCTGCTACACAAATTGAGACGGAGGGAGTATTTAAAGAAGAAAAATCCAGTCTTAGGAGTACCTTAGGAAAGGTGCAAACAAAGTATAAAAATGAAGACTTGTTATTTAAGGTTTTCATAGATTGATATCTGGATTTAAGTATAATGAACATTACCAAAGGGAAATAACAAATTTACAATTTAGCGTGGTGGCTTTCTTAGTCAATTATCACATGACAAGTTATTACTTCAAATGTTGCAGATCAAAATATGGGACACCAACTATCAGCATCTTATGCTCTGCAACCGGCGTGATCTTTCTGTCATGGATGACTTTTCAAGAAATCTTGGAATTTCTTAACTTCCTCTATTCAGTAGGAATGCTTCTTGAGTTTGCAGCCTTCATAAATTTAAGGATAAAGAAGCCAGATCTTCATAGACCTTATAAGGTCCCGTTACAAACAGTTGGAGCAACACTGCTTTGCCTGCCGCCTTCTCTGTTGCTTCTTTTTGTCATGTATCTGGCTTCTTTAAAGACGTTTATAGTAAGTGGCTCAGTCATTATTCTAGGGCTGTTCTTGTATCCTGCTGTGATGTATGCAAAGGAGAAAAAATGGTGTCATTTTAATACAAGAGAACAATTGGGACTTTCTAATGATCTTGAGGACCGATCATCACCTACTGAACTTGATCAGGTTGTTGCTGATGATGCGTCTCTTAGCCTACTCGGACACTCTAAGACAGTACAAGATTCTAAAACTTTGTCACAAGAAATTTCAACAGTGGATTAGAAGATACTTCCATATTTTGTGTACATTTAAACCAGAAGGGGGAGCTTTGGTGCAACATTGTGACCTAGAGGTAATGGGATCTCTCAATCGTGGAGATAGTAGAAATGCAAGGTAAGATTGCGTAAAACAGATCCAATCTGATCCAACCCTTTACTTAGGGACCTTTATGCACCAGACTGCCTTTTTTTTTTTACCAGAATGGATTTATATTTACATAGTTCAAGCTAGGAAAGATATGCTTCTACAGAATTAGCCAGACACTATGGGAGGAAAAGCCCAATTAGATTTATGTAAACTCTTTGAATACCTTATATCTGATGTGAAACACTACATAACTTATCAATACAAACTCTGTACATACTTTTGGTACATCACAACAATCTGATTTCACGTAAATGTTTAAGGGATCGAGCACACCAGGCAGCTAACTGGTCTTCAAATTTCACATATTATTTTCTCTTTAATAAAATGTCAATCTACTTCCACATGTTTTGTCCTGTCATGTTGAACAGGATTCTGAGCAATCTGTATAGCTGATGACTTGTTATCACACCACCAAAGAAGTTGGCAAATTCCCTTTGTGAATTCAGCCTCTGTGCTAGAAAAAGTCACCACTTTCTATTTCTTGCTTCTACAAGTCAAATTAGCTGATGTTGATCTTCCAGCGCCCAGTCTGCGTCTGTATAGCCATCAATATCTTGAACACAAGTCCTCTTCCAGGAGACGACTTTAGATAAATAAATCTTGTCAACAAGTTGTGATACTGAAACCTCCCTTTGTTTGTTGGCAGATGCTCTTTTAGTCCATCATTTTAGACTAAAGTAGTGTCATCTGCTCTGCAATTGACCATTCATGTTTCTGTCAATAAGTCAACAACATTTTCTCTACGGGAAAGGAAAAATACTTTTGCTACATTGGACAACCTCTCACTACAGCAAAAATGACCTTTAGTTAACGGTAATAACTTAATTTAGTGGCAGCTAGCACTCTTTGTAAATGTCCTTAAAGCCTATAGTGACATTGAATTCAATGACAATTAACTAGTGTCGATAAAGGCTTCAACACTCTTTGTTAATGTGTATTTTTATTGTCCCGAAAAAGTTATTTTTACTGTAGTGTCTGTCCTAAAAAAATACGTAAGTCCTCCAAGGTTCTTCATTTTGAACTTTATATGTAGCTAAATATCTTTGCAACTTCTTAATCTCTTCTTTGTCATATCATCAACATGGATAATTAAGGTTGTCACCATACTGATTCTAGAATAAGGTGTGTGTTCAATATTGCTTTGTTTATAACCTCGTGTCTTCATGGCCAAGCTAAAGAAAATTTTAACATACCCCTTAAAAAAAAACTTTAATTAGAGCTAGTTGACTTGACACACTCCTTCAAAAAAGTAATTTAATTAGACATATATTTTACTAAATTAATTTTACTAATAATGTTTTGGAACTTTATATTGGACTACTATTATTTTTGGGTCGAGGTCAAGTCTCGGGGTCGGGATCGAGGTCGATTCTCGAGTTGGGTGTCAATGTCAGGTTTTGGGGTCGGGGTTATGTCTCATGGTCTGGACTTGGGCTCGGGTCTCGAGTTGGAGTCGGGTCTTAGGTAGGGTCTCGAGTCAAGTATCAGGGTCGGGGTCGGGTCTCAGATCACGTGTCAAGGTTGAGGCCGGGGTTGGATCTCGAGTTGGGGTCAGGGTCAGGGTAGGGTCTTGGGTCGGGGTCATGTCTTCGGGTTGAGGTCGGGTCTTGAGTCGGGTGTCGGGGTCTGGTCTCGGATCGGGGTCGGTCTCGGGGTCGGGGTTGGGTCTCGACTCGGAGTAGGGGTCGAGTCTCAGGGTTGGGTCTCGATTCAGATATTGGGACGGGTTTCGGGGTCGGGGTCGGGTCTTGAGGTCACGGTCAAGTCTCAGGTCTTGGGGTTCATTCTCAGGTCGGGTGTCAGGTCGCGGTCAGGTCCTGGGTCGGAGTCAGGCGTCAGGTAGAGTGTCAGGGTTGGATTATGTTTCAAAAGTTGGATCTTTAGTCGGATG